CCCCACCCTCTACAGTCCCAACCCCCCCCTGCCCCCCCCCCCCAAGTTTCCCCCCCCCCCCCCCAGCTCCTGATGGGGACAAGCCTCATCGCCCCCCACCCCCGCCAATCTTCAGGTAGGCTGAGGGCCCAGAATGGCCCAGGCACGCACAAACCAGGAACAGGATAAACAGGATGCCTGGCCCTGGGGGAGGCCTGGACAGGAAGCCCCCGCAGCCCGAAAGGTGTAAAGGCTCAGAGACCCAAAAGGACAACGAGGAAGAAACGGCCAAGCCACCTGCTTCAGGAAGCCTTCCCGGACCTTGGCCCGAAGTCTCTGCGTCTGCTCACTTCTCCGGAGCCCTGTAGCTCAGCCGAAAACCTGCTGAAGAGGAAGAAGAGAATCTACCTGTTCCTCCTAACGCACAAGAGACATTCAAGACCTGACTGTGGCCCAGGAGGGCTCCCCTGAGCCCTCGATACCCTGTTCCACTCCCTGCCACAGCGCCTCCCACGTTCTTCCAGACTCGGCTCAAACCCAACCCCCAGACGCCTCTCTCGCGTCTCTGAACACTCTCCCTCTTGACTGGTCAGTATCAGCCCCGCTGGCTTAAACCCACACTATCTTGTCTCTGCAGAAGTGAGCTCACAGGGACAGGCCCAGCAGCGAACATGACCGCACAAAGACGCCCCCATTCTAATCCCCAAAACAGTAAACGTGGAACCACATATGGAAAAAAGGACCTTGCAGGTGGGATCGATTCAAGGTCCCAAAGTGGGGGAGACCCTGGGTTCCCCAGGGGCCCAGTGTCCTCACAAGGGAGGCAGAGGGTCGGAGGCAGAGAGCCGGGCAGACCCTGTGCTGCCGGCCGCGAGGATGAGGAGGGGCCACAGGCCGAGGACGCGGTGCCTCTGGAAGCCGGAAAAAGGGGGAGACGGGGCTCCCTGGGGCCCCTAGAAGGAGCACAGCCCTCCATTTTATACTTCTGATTTCCAGAACCGCACAGTAATAAGTCTGTAGCCCTTAAACCACTAACTTCGTGGCGATTTGCTATAGTAGCCACACGCAAGGAACACAGGGGGTACAGACCAGCTGTGCTGTGGACCTTGGAGTCACCCTGTAACTCTAGAGGAACCTCGACCTCTCCCTGGCCCGGTTCTTATCCTCTGGATGAGCACACGAAGACCTCACACCCGGGAACCAGCAACGCGACCTTCCGGATGGCTGCCGACTCAGGGCAGTTATACCGGTCACAGGGTCAGACCCTGTATTACAGAAGGACGCCTGGAGCTTCCCACTTTGAAACGCTGTCAGGCCAAGTGCGGAGGCCAAGCACCGCTAACTATCCCAATCACTCCATCACACGGCACTTGGTCCTGAGAAGAGGGTACAACGCCAGGAGCACCCCCTGCCAGGGAGGCAAGCGCACCGGCCCGCGGAACCCCCGCTGCCTCGCCACCTGTGCCATTTGCGGCGAGCCCAGGGAAAGCTGCACCCCAACCCTCCCAGGGGGGATCCCCGTGGTCCTGGCTGCCAGACCTGGTCACAGGCTCCGCGGGGGAGGCCGTGCCAGGGGCTGAGCTGTGCCGGCATCTGCCGTGAAGCACCCGCTGTGCCTTGGGAGACTCCAGCGTTTCTGGGGGAAGTGGTGAGAAACTCCTGGGGTCAGGGGGGTAGGGGGGGAGCACAGAGGGACACGACTGGCCCTCGCTGCTGCCCGCAGCACGGCCGGGGCTGGGGAGGTCTCTCCCACAGGTCTTGAGTGACTTACGGGGCTCCGTGAGGAGCCTCCCACCTTCTCAAGGACGTTACGGGAGAGCGTTCACCCAAACAATGAAATGGGGTGCCTGTGGGGGAGCGTGTGCTGATCAAGTGAGCAGCAGCTGACAGTAGATGAAGACGTGCTCAACGTCACTGTCCCTAGGGAACCGCAAATCAAAACCCCACGGACGCACTGCCTCCCGCCCATCAGGATGGCTGTTGCCAGAGACAGAAAACAAAGGCAACTCTCCGGAGTCAGGGCCGGACTCGGGAGGAAGCGGTGTCCCCCCGTCTGCAGAGGAGAGGGCGACACAAGCTCAAGGCCCAGGACACAGTTTGTGCTGATGCCTTGTTTCCCGTCATGTGTTACATGGGTGACGCTTCCGGAACACTCCACGGACCCAGTGGGAGCAAAGAGCTGCCCAAGTGACTCGGAAGGCAACGTTTTAACAAAGCCAAGGGTTCCCACAAGTTTGGTGATGAGCCCGGTTCCTTCTTAATGGCAAGATAAGGCCCTCGAATGCTAGAGGCCGGCTGGGGAGTGTGCCCCGCGGCTGTCAGCTCAGGGAAACCCGACTCAGATACTGAACTGGTCGCCACGTCAGAGGGAAACCAGTGACCACTGGAGACCCAAACTGCTGGTTCCTAGCAGCGCACTGCACACATCATCCCTGTCCCTGCCTGCCTCCATCCCCAAGAGATCTCGTGCCCGGGGGCCTCGACAGACTGCTCGCACAGACTGGAGTTTCATCGTCAGAAGGACTGGAACGAAGGGACACTGCACTTGGGCTGGCACTGCGGGGGAGAGTCCAGGAGAGGAGGGAGGGCCAGGCCGAAAAGAGGGAATCCCATCAAAACCTGCCCACCAAACAGCAGGCAGCCTGCCCTTCCCCCACGCCTTGCCCAGCAGGGCCAGCTGGAGGCCCCCAGCAAGAGCACCAGAGACCGCATTCTCCTGGGAGCACCAGAGACCAGCTCCCGGGACTCTGGCCGCTGGGGTCTCGCACGCCCCAGAGAAAACACCAGCGCCTTCCCAGGCTGGCCGGGCAGTGAGACTCACTGAGTGAAGCTGGCAATTCAGACGTAACCAGATATGAAAAACCCCGTGTATCAAGAAAGGAAGGAAAGGAAAAGGAAAAGGAGGAAAGGAAATGAAGAAAGGAAGAAAAGGAAGAAAGAAACCTGACAGAAACCTCCCCAGATGATGGCAGCGTCCTCCTTGGTTACCGGACAGGGCACTACACCACGAGAGCAGTGCAACCCGCCAAAAGTTAGCAAGGCGAATTAAAACCAGAAGGAAACTTCAGAAACACGGAATGATCCGAACAAAACACAGAACATGAGAGCTTGGAAGTACAAATTAAGCAAGCCTTTTGCAAAAGGGAACAAAAAAGGGGAGAATAGGTCAAATTTCAGAGCAATAATAGAAAGCAGCACGGGGAGCCCCACCAGAGAGAGAAACAATATCCCAGGGCTGAGGGAATCTGACAGTTCAGACAGAAACAAACAAAAACCCATCAATGAGAACAATCGCGAAACTCTACACTGCCAAGAAAAACCTCCAGTTTCTATCAAAGGAGAAAAACAGATGGGGCGCCTGAGTGGCGCAGTCGGTTAAGCGTCCGACTTCAGCCGGGTCGCGATCTCGCGTGATCTCCCGTGATCTCGCGTGAGTTCGAGCCCCGCGTCGGGCTCTGGGCTGATGGCTCGGAGCCTGGAGCCTGCTTCTGGTTCTGTGTCTCCCTCTCTCTCTGCCCCTCCCCCGTTCATGCTCTGTCTCTCTCTGTCCCAAAAATAAATAAACGTTGAAAAAAAAAAATTAAAAAAAAAAAAAAAAAAGGAGAAAAACAGAAACAAAAGGTCAGACACCAAAGGAGAATCAAACCAGAGATAAGCAACACTTTCTCAGTCTCAAGATGAATTTTCAACCTAGACTTTTACACTCCAATTTCCAACCGCGAGGGTAAGGAAATAACCAAGGACTCAAAATCAATTCCTTTGAAAGCTATCTGGACATGCATCCCGACACAACGAAGGAAAACAAACAGATGATCCGACTGAAAACAGAAGCCAACTCAGGAGAACACGCACAGAAAGTTCTAGACAGCTGCTCCGCTGCAGGGGACAGAAGCAGGCACGTGCCAGCCTCTGAGGGGATGCTTCTGTGGTGGGGGTGGAGGTGGGTGAGGGACGAGGAAACAATTTGTTTAAACCCAGGGAAAAATACAATCAATACGTGTTGAGATGTTGGGAGCTTCGAGGAAAAAACTGAACGGGTCAAGAAAACCAGGCTAACAGGAAAAATGCAGAAGTTAGGGGTTTTTTTTTGGGGGGGGAAGAACAATGGGAGAAAAGCACACAAGTGACCCCGATAATTGCCTTCGCAGCAGAGAATACTTTCAGCCTCAGGAAACAGGTCTAACGATGTCGCTAAAACTGCAGAAAACGCATTCAGAGAACGGAAGGGGAAGCTGCCGTGGGTGGGCGGGAGGCAGAAAACAAGACCCACCAAATCATCAGAGAACTCAGCAGGTCAGGCCCCAAACCCACACGGCCAGAGACCCGCTCCTTACAAAAGCAAGGGCTCGCTTTACGGAGAGGGAGGCGGCCTCCGGGGCCCAACGACGGAGCGGGAAGCTAGCAAGCGGATGATCAGCGCCAGCTCCTCTCGGCCAGGAAAAGCAGCCCCGGACACGCGAGTCTGACCAGGGCCAGTTAACGGGCTCTGGCCGCCCGGGGGCGGCGCCGAGCGCCCCGCCCCCAGGACCGCGCTCCCTACTCGGCGGGCCCGGGGCGGCCGTTATATCCCCCACACAACAGGGGCGGGCATGGAAGCTTCCCGGACCCGAGAGACTCAGGACCGCACAACCACGGCGAAGACCCGCAAATCAGGGCAAGCAGGGGTCCTGGGGGCGCGGAGGGCACCATGTGAGCCGCCACCCGACCCGATCCCACGGGCCTACGGAGAGACTTCCGAGGACGCGGGACTCGTTTGGCTCTCCTGGCGCGCGGCCGTCGGGAACCCCAAAGCCGCCCGGCCCTCGCTCGCACCCCCCGCCGCCCGCGTACGCTCCCGTCCAGGGAAGCCAGGGCCCCGGGCCCCCCCCCCCCGCCCTCACCGTGCTCCGTTCCTCACTCCGCGCCCGCCGCCACTACGACTACGTTACGCGCAAGCGCATCTCATCCTAGGGAAATACTTCCGGGGACGAAGCGGGCAGGGCCTCCCGAGTGCGCATGCCCGCCCAGGCCGGAGACGTGGGCCGGAGGCTCGGGAGGCGCGAGAAAAGGGGGCGGGACTAAGAGTATGGGCCGGGATTCTAAGTGCGCGTGCGCGCCAGCCTCTTGACGCCTTCTCGGTGGCTCTAATTCGCGCGGGCTCAGGTCTCGCGGTAGGTCGGGTTGCGACTCGTTCCGCCTCGCCTGCTTCTGTCCGCTTCGGCAAAGGGCGCCACTGGTCGTGAGGGTACCTTACTCTGTTCCCACCCCGGATCCAGCTTGTTGCGCAGTTATATGTGACGATCGTCTGTTTTGTCTACTGTCTCCTGCGCGCCGCGCGCCCGAGGTCGACGGGATGGGTGGTTCGGCAGCGCGCAAGCGCAATGGCTGCGGTAGTACTTCCGGGAGAACGGCGCTGTGGGACTTTTTTGGCGCGAGGGCGGCCGGCGGCCCGGAGGGCGCGGCTCGCGCTCCGTGTTTTGGGTCCGGGCGGCGCCATGCGCTACAACGAGAAGGAGCTGCAGGCGCTCTCCCGGCAGCCGGCCGAGCTGGCGGCCGAGCTCGGCATGCGAGGCCCCAAGAAAGGCAGCGGTGAGCGGGCCGGGTCACCGAGGCGGGCGCAGGGGGACGCGGGCGGGCGGAGGGGGGTGGGCGGCCACCGAGCCCGCGCGAGCCTGCCCTGTGCTCGCAGTGCTGAAGCGGCGACTGGTGAAGCTGGTGGTCAACTTCCTTTTCTACTTTCGGACGGACGAGGCCGAGGTAGGCCGCCCGGGGGGCGCCCTGGAGCGCACGGGGGCCGGGGTTCCCCCGGAGGCGCGCCCCCACCCTCGCCTGCTCCTCCTCTTCCCGCAGCCCGTCGGAGCCCTACTGCTGGAGCACTGCAGAGTCACCCAGGAAGAGCCCAGCGGCTTCTCCATCAGTGAGTGTCGGGCGTGGCGGACGAGGCCGGCCGCGACCCCAGCCCCGCCCTGCCCCGCCTGCCTCTGCCGAGATCAAGTCCACTGCCCCGGGCTGCCCAAGGTCGAGCTGGGCCTTCCCGCTGGGCGGGCGCCGCATTCTAGCGCCCCGCGGTGCCCGCCCCAGATCCACTAGGACTTTGTCTCTCGCTGGGGAGCCCTGCACCCCTCGGGTGCCGTCCTCCGGGCCCTGCGGAGCATCTTCCTGGGTCCTGAGGGGGTCGGGTTGGCAGCGAGGAAAGACAGAGTTTCTACAAGTTTCCCATGCCACACGTGAAGGGCTTAAACGGCAGGAACGTGTGCTCCCCCAGATCTGGAGGGTGGAAGTCTGAGATCAGGGTGTGTGCAGGGGTGGTTCCTTGTTAAGAAGACGTTTTGCCATGCTTCCCTGACTTCTGGGGGTCGCCAGCGATCCAGGGTGCTCCTTGCCCGCGCTTCTCTGTAGAATCATGTCCCCCCATCCTGTGTTCACTCTCACGTGGTTTACTCTCCTTGTTTGGTTGTGTCCAGATTTTCATTTTTGACAAGGACACAAATTCTGCTAGACTTGGTGCTAGTTTTGTTGTAGTCTAATCTCATAGTAAGTCATTACGTTGGTAACTTGTGTATTTAAATAAGGTCACGTGTTTAGGTTCTAGACTTGAACGTACCATTTTAGGGACAGAAATCCATCCAGGGCACAGCTGGTGAGAAGTCCTGAGCCTGGACTTGGACTGGAGGAAGGGACAGTTTTAGACAGAGGTCGCGAGAAGCTGAGGCCTGAGGGGGAGGGGGAGGTGCGGGGCGGGGCGCGGCTCTTGAGCCGGGGAATGAGATGGGGACTGCCTCCCCCTGCAGGCTTCATCGAGGATCCGGAGAGGAAGTATCACTTTGAGTGCCGCAGTGAGGAACAGTGTCAGGAGTGGATGGGGGCTCTGCGTCGAGCCAGGTGGGGTGTGGGCCCGGTGGGGGCGGGGGGGGGGCGGTCTGGGCCGGGGGCAGAGCAGGACTCTGTGAGCACACGTCGCTTTCTCCCCCAGCTACGAGTTCATGCGGAGAAGCCTTATATTCTACAGAAATGAGATCCAGAAAATGACCGGCAAGGTGCACAGAGGGCTGGGGGTGGGGGGGGGGATGGAGTGGGGCCTCTGGGGCCTGAGCTGACACCACCTGTTCACCCGCACAGGACCCCCTGGAGCAGTTTGGCATCTCCGAGGAGGCCAGGTTCCAGCTGGGTGGCTTGAAGGCCTGAGTGTGGGGTGGGGCTTTTCAGCTTTTCTACTGGGGCTGGAAGAGCCCTCCCCGTCCTCACCAGGCCCTGGGGTTCCTGGCCGAGCCTGGATTTGCTGCAGCAGACTTCAGAAACCCAAGACTGGTGGAGGTGGGCGGGGGCAGGTTGGAGAGACAACTCAGTGACCCCACCCCCACCCCCACCCTGGTGCCTCAGGCCCACCCCCTGACTCCCCCCACCCCCACCCCCCCGACTGGTCTGGCACCTGCTGGTGCCACATGCTGCTACCGGGGGATGAGTGTCCCCTCCCAGAAGCTGTGCCCAGCCCTTGGGTGTATCCATCTGGGGCCTGAAGCACCCAAGGCTGGTGCAGCCCTGCTTCCCTGTGCAGGCTGAATGTACGAAGCTAGATGATGCTGTGAAGGGCGTGGGGGCCGGGCCTCCTGGAGCCACTGTGAATTGTACTCCTGCCGATGGGCAGGCCCTGGCTGGGCACCTCCGGGCGGGGAGCTGCAAGCATTGACTCAGGCCAGCGTGCTTGTTCTGTTCAAATAAAGGTACCTCTTTTCCACGTGGGACAGTGCTGCAGTGGACATGTGGAGGGCTGGCGGGCCGGGTGGTTGAGCCGGCTCCAGAAGGAAGCAGGGCCTAAATGGAACAGCAGTGCTCTCCAGGCCAGAGGTTTAAGTTCCCCGGGAGGAAGGGCTGGCCTGCCTGGATCACAGAGACCTAGAACCAGACCACGGAGAGACGGGGAGGCTGGGTGAGGAACCCTAAGGTGATCCTGACTGGACCCCACTTCCAGGTCCCAGGCCTCCCTTGAGTCCAGGCAGGACCTCAGGAAGCATTTTGCCAACGTAAAAGTCCTAAATTAGTTGGTTTTACTTCAAAAGGGAAGCGTGCTGGGTTGCACTGACCTATTCAGGTGTAGGCACAGGCAGGGCGAGGCCGGGTGGCGCGGGCCCGGACCGGACGGGGCGGGCCGGGCCGGGCCGGGCCGGGCCCTCCCTGAGATGGGTGCTCACAGTCATGGTCTCACGGCTGCCTTGGGGGGCTGCTTCTGCGAGCTCCAGTCCTCCCACTTGGGGAGTGGGGAGTGTGGGCCCTGGCCCTCATGCCTCTCCCTCACCCCGTCGGAAGCAGAAAGAAATGGTTCCAGCAGACCAGGTTCAAATGAAAAGTATTTTATTACAGCGCCTAGAGGTGGAGATGCAGAGTGCGTTGGGGTTCTCTTAGGACAGGAGGAGGGTCGAGGCAGCAGCCCGGGGAGGGACAGGCCATGCCAGCACCCACCCCCAACTGAAACACAGTCTACCAGAAACACAGAGCGAAGCCCCATCTGAGTTACAAATTAAGGTGGACACACGAAAAACGAGCCAGTGTGGCTGGACCATGGGGAGGAGGACAGGGGCCAGAAAGGAACCGTGTCCTGCTGTGGAGCGAGCGGTGTGGATCAAGAGGGGCGCATGAGGCTCACACGCGTCCGTCTGTAGCTGTGAGAAACGGCGACTGCCCGGGGGGCCGTTTTCCTTGTTGGGTTTTCCTGAGCAGAGCCACCCTGCGGCCCACCGGACTTCCCTGAAGGTGCCCGCAGTCAGCGGCGGCACCGGGGCCTTGCGCGCCACCGCCACCACTGTGCTGCCTTCCCTCCCACAGCCGGCCTTGCTGTTGGCGGCGGGGGGGGGACTGGTCCCGCGGTCAGGAGGGCCGAGGGGCTCAGGAAGGAGACTCCCTAGCCTAACCCGCCAGGGACAGCGGGGCCGCTGAGATTGCACACCGACGCTCGTGTGTGTGCGCCGTTTCTATCGGGAGGATGCGTATGGCACGTCGCTGGGGACCCCCCGAAGCGATGCAGTGTTTGTGTACAGGGTTGCCCTGTTCTAGACCAGGGACTTGTGCCGTGACCTCTCTGCTGCGCACCCTGTAGTTTTTAGGGAGCCCTGGGCTCCTGACAGGGGGTGGGAGGGCACCCTCTCAGAAGAGGCCGAGCAGACACCGCCTTGTCTGGGAGGCCAGGGCTTGGGGTTCACAGGGGCGAGGCACAGCACCTTCACACGCCGGGGAGCACCGGCCCAGAGGGAGGGAGCCATGACCACCAGTTACAGGAGGATGAGCCAATTTCAAGAACCCATCACGAGCACCATCTTCCGCCTCAACTATTGGTCTGGACTAGCAACGTCATCCCCAGAGCAAGCAGGAAAGCAGGGCTCTTGCAGGGAGGGTCTGGCTGGTGGAAACCAGGGGTCCGGCCAACTTCCAAAGCTGAGCCAGTGGCCAGACCTGCCCTGCGTAGACCGGTCCGCCATCTTGAGGTGGCGGGAGGCAGAAAACCATCCTCCAGCCCCACCCCTGGGGGTGAGGAGGAAGCGGGGCCTGGCCTCGGCCCACCACACCGACCCTCCCAGGTAGGCAGAGGACTCCTGGCATCCACACTTGGAGGGAGGCAGCCTTGCTGGCCAGACCAGACGAGGCAGGAGCTCAAGGCCTTTACTTGAGCAACAGGTTAGACCCTACGCACAGCCCACCTTCAGAAAGAGGCAAGCTGCCTGTGTTCCTTGGTGGGTGCAAGCACCTGAGGACAGGGCTCTGACCCCTCCCCCGTCTTGGGGTTCGGGTCCCCTCCCAGGACCTTGGCTGACGTTGGTCCTTTCAGGGGATGGAAGGCTTCGGGGGGGGGGGCACCCTTCTGAAGACTGTGGAGAGACACAGCACTGGTCAGCTGGGGGACCCGGGACCAGTCACAGACTGCTATGCTGGACCTTGCTGGCGACCTCTGGAAACATCTAAAACGACTCTCCTGACTTTTCCCTGGTCGCCTGTCCCCCCAGTGCATTCATTCCCAAGCACCATCAAGGCTGCTCC